GGCTGAGACAAAGCTGCTGTCAGGGAGCTGCAGGATTATGATGGAGATAAACCCCAACCCACCAGGCTCATCTGCTGCAGTGTGATGGCTCCAGCCCTGAGTGTGTTCAATTTGCCTTTGTCCTGAAGGAACCCAAGGGCTGTTTGATGTCCCACGTGGGCTCTGAAGGAATCTGGTGGTTCAGCAGCCTCTGAGGTGAGATTGTGTAAGCCTCCTCCTGCTGTTTAATGTACTCCTTCACGTTACAACAGCTTTAGCAAACAATAAAAACCATCTGGAAGCCCCATTTAAATAACAGAGTTGTGTCATTAGTGCTAGAGTCATGGCTGGGGCTGTAAAACCAGTAAACAAGGGCTGATGTGCAGTTAAATAAAGGGAGATGGTGTACTAAGGAGGGCAAGGAGGAAGCTGCTCCTCATCCTCCTTGGCCAAAGCTCATGCTGGGTGTGACCCACATCGCTGCAGGGCATGAACTGGGATCCTCACCTTCCCTCCCGGTTACACTCCTGCCACCCCAGAGGAGGTTCTGGGGGTCACTGCAGCCTCCTATGGAGCCCAGGTGCCCCCAGCTCCCCTCTGAGTGCCCCACACCAGCCCAGGGAGGGAGCTGGGGATGCCAAGCAAGGCAAACATTCCCATTTATTGTCCATGTCACTCTGTGTGCTTTTGCTGGTGGAGAAGGAGCAGCACAGCCCCTGTGCACAAGGCTAACCCTGCAGTGAGGGGTTCCTGCCCTACTCTGCCCAGGAAAAGAACTTTCCTCCCTCTCCACTCTGCTCCAAAATGGGAAATAGCAAGTGAACTGAGAGCAAATGAAGAGTGAATTCCTCTTGCCCAGGTTACAGGGATCTAAGCTGCTTTGGTTCATACTTCTCCAGGATCAAACTCAGGACATGATTCCTCCACCACACGGTAGTCCCTGCTTTCCTTTGGGAGCCAACCCTCCTCCCTGAGGTGCAGCAAAGCATTCCCAGCCCCACAGCAGCCCTGCTGACCTCCCTCTCATGCCCACCTTGAGGGAGAAGGGATCAGAGAGGTGCTGAGCAGGAAACACCAATGGCTCATGCTGGCCATGGCTCTGCCCAAATCCAGCCTGGGGCTGCAGGCACATCATGGCCAGGGGCTGGGGCTGCTCCCTGTGCCACCACTGCCAGCCCTCCCCATGAAACCCTGGCACTGCCAGCCCTCCCCATGAAACCCTGGCTGCTGTTTGAACACTTCTGAGAGTGTCTGAGCACACCTTCACCCCAGTTATTGCAATGGGATATGCTAACCTAGCATGGAGATGGGATTTTTTCAGTGAAATAAGGAATGAATCACTCCAACTCAAAGAATTCATTCAAGTATGTGAACCCACAGGTGCAACTTGCAGCAAAGATCACCCAAAAGAAGCTGTTGATAAAATTCCTACTGGAGCATCAATGTGATATAAAAAGCCAACTTCCATCCTTGGGAGGTTTTGAAGGCAAGGTATCTACAACATCCTTCCATCCTTGGGAGGTTTTAAAGGCAAAAGTATCTACAACATCCCTCCAACCTTGGGAGGTTTTAAAGGCAAAGTATCACAACAACTGCCCTGTGATCATCCATAACACCTGGCTCTGCACATCTGGGGACACAGGGCTGACCTCTGCACCGGGCACTCAGGGATCACCCCATTCTTTCCCATATTTACTCACCCTCTGGCAATTCCTGGCTCTAAGCATCACCCCCATGCTGTTGTTGGTTGAACACATATTTGTTTCTGCTGAATCACTCGGCAGCACAAAGTTTGCTGTTCCTTCCCCACCCTGGAATTCCTCTTCATGCAAGAACAGCCTCTCCCCACGCCACCATGGGGACAGCTGCCAGGGCCAGCTGCCAGAGCCAGAGCAGGAACAGCTCTCCTGAGCCATGAGCCAATGCACTGCTGTTCTCCAAGGAGGCAAACTGCAGGATTTTATCCCATTCCCAGGGTAATATGGACAGAGTTTAATCCCTGCTGCCATTGGAGCACCACAGGGATGTCCCAAACTCCAGGCACTCTGTGGGGATCGGTCTGTGGTCAACAAAACAGCCCAACACAGCCAAAAATGGGATTCTGGGATGTGTCAGAAGGAACTGCCACCTTCCCTCCCCAGGCTGCATGTGATGAGGTGCTTTGTGCTGAGGATGCAGTACCTCTAACCATGCCAGGCCACCCCTCTCATCTCCAGGTCAGGGGGACAGAAAAGCATGTGCTGAAGTCCTCCTGTCCCAGCAAGACCTAAATATGAACTTTACAGAATCACAGAACTGGGCTGGAAGATCACCTTAAAGATGATGTTCCAGCCCATACACAGGTTTAGGACCCCCCTCCATGTTTTTTCCATGTGTATCCAAGCCCAGAGAAGGCTCAGGAACCTGCAAGACATGAACACTTCTATTCTGGTCCCCCACACGTGGGTTTCTAGCTCCAAAACAGGAACCCTTGGATTCCTTTTTCTCCCCTGTTAATCTATTTAGCTACAGGAAATACTCCACGTGAGGGAAGGAGACACCTGAACTGCACACAATACTTGGAAACTTCACTGTGGCCAGAAACACCCAAATGCACCTTCATTTGGAGTGAGGGATGCTGAGGGAAAGCTTTTCAGCAAAGGTTTTCAGCAAAGCTTTTCAGCAGAGCCAGCCTCCAGTGGAATGGGGCTGGGCTGGGAATGGGCTCCAGATGGAAATGCATCCCAACCCCTCCACCAAGTGCTGCATCTGGGCTCTGACCTCCTCCAGGGACACTCCTGATGTCCCAGGAGGACAGATTCACAAACAGCTCCTGGAATTTGTGCTTTAGTCCCCTAAAATTCTCACCCCAGCAAAACAACTCTTACCTGATTGGCTGATAGAAACTCCTGGGCGTTGTCGTTCATCCCCATGTACATGTTCTCCCCATCAAACTAGAAAGGCAAAAGAAAGAGTTAATAAAATGCCATCTGCACACCATGCTGCTGTGCATCCCAAATACCTTCCTGGCTCTTCACATCAAGAGCCAGAATTCCCAGAGGAACACCCTGAGCTGCTGTTTGAGCACTTTGGAGAGTGTATGAGCACACCTTCACCCCAGTTATTGCAATGGGATATGCTAACCTAGCATGGAGATGGGATTTTTTCAGTGAAATAAGGAATGAATCACTCCAATTCAAAGAAATAATTCCAATGTGTGAACCCACAGGTGCACCCTGCAGCAAAGATCACCCAAAAGAAGCTGTTGCTGAAATTCCTATTAGACCATCAATGTGATATAAAAAACCAACTTCCATCAATGGAAATGTCCAGATTTGGGCAGGTCACATTCAATCCTCTTACAGATCTCAACACCATAGCAAAGCTCCTGCAGCAATGCAGAATCGCTCTGGAGCTGTGGAAGCGGTTTTACAGTGACTTCTGTGAGTCAGGGAGAAGTCTGATAGGAGGATCCATGTTTATGCCTGAAAGAATTTTCTACCAAGGATCCATATTTACCCCTGAAAGAATTTTCTATCAAGAATTTTCTACCAAGAGACCAAGAAAGGAAGAATGATAAACTTTGTCTTTCTTGACCAATAAGCGTAAACTTAGTAGTTCTGTAAGAATGTATAAAAAGATGCTAAAATAAAGCATCTTTGAAGGTTTGAAGCCTTCTGAAAATGGAGTGTTGCTTTGTTGATTGTGACCATCTCAGCCATGACATGGGGCATTCAGGAGGCGTCTGTGCACAGCCTGACACATCCATCCCCTCTTCTCCTGTTCTCCTGCCTGCCCTGCCAGGACTCTGCTCCATGGCTGGGTGGGCTTGGGCTGCCCAGCCCATCCTCCTGTGTCCCTCCCCAGCTGTTAATCCACTTATCAGGCCACAAAACCCCCAGGGAGAGCTACAACTCCTCTCACTAATTAGCTGCAACAGGAGCTTTTCACTCGCTTGGATTCCAAAGGAAGGGAAAAAACCCTCCCGGATTGTCTGTAGCTCCAAGTGCAGCTGGGGCAGGCCTCAAGGCTGAGTTCACAAATTAATTATGGCAATAAAAACGGGCTGAGCCATAAAACACTCCCGAGACCAGGGTGGAGGTACCAGCTGTGAGTGACACCTTGCACTGAACAAGGGGAAGAGCCAACCCTCCTGCCCTTAGCAGCAGGATGATGAATTGGAGATTGTTCACCCCTCACCTGTCTTCCCACTCTCTGATATGAAGCTGATTCCAGTTATGCCTTCACAGAAATTGGCCATATTAAGAGCAATAAAAGTGAAATCTAAATAAAACCAGGTGAAGATTTTCAGCCTAGACAATTAATTATGCTTCCATTTCTCAGAGTGCTACAGGATTAGCTATTAAAAGCAGCAGAGTTAGTAAAGCCAAGCGGGGGTAACACGGCTCTGCTTGGCCTCAGACACCCTCTAATTGCCAAACTGTCCTCTGGCACAGCAAACCAATTAAAAGCTGTAAAAGTGGAGCAGGTATTGTGGCATTCATTAAGTAATACCAGCAGCAGCAGCTGCAGCAGGTAGGAGAGGATTCCTGTGCAATTGCTGGATCCTGTGAGATCCACCAGTGGGGCAGGAGCTGTGGGACAAACAACTTCCTCAGAAAGCAGCTGGGTACCATGCAATTTAACCTGGATTTCCCTGTGCCTGGGAGGTGATCACTGGCACAGCCAGCTCCTAGCAGCTGGAGCTTCCAGGAACATAGATCCAACCAGCTCTAGAGCCTAAATATCTTCTGACCCCACACAAATACCCTCAGACCCCACCCAAATACCCTTTACAGCCTAAATACCCTCTGACCCAACCTAAATGCCCTCTGGCTCCACCTCAATACCTTTTGAAATTCCCACCAGACCCACCTGGGCTGGCAGCAGAGGTGCCAGAGGCTGGTGGAGAATCACAGAATCTCCAGGGTTGGAGAAGCCCTCTGGGATCACTGAGACCAACATTCCCCCAGCACTGCCAAGGCCACAACTCATTGATGTCCCCAAGTGCCACAGCACCTCTCACGGACCCTCCAGGGATGGTGACTTCAGCACTGCCCTGTTGCAGCACCTGGCCACTGTTCCAGTGAAGAAATGTTCCCTAATGTCCAATCTAAACCTGCCCTGGTGCACATGAGGCTGACTCCTCTCATTCTAGCCCTTGTTTCCCACCAACCCAGACCTGGCCACCACCTTTTTCTCCAGAAAAAAAAAAATTACCTTGAAAGTTACATTTAGCAAACCAAAAGTATCATTCAGTAGGGAGGCCCAGAGAAGGACAAACCCTCCCCGATCTCCACATCCTTCTGTTTGTCAGAATGTATTTTTTTATGGCTTTCTACTGTTCCTCTACCTCCATTCCACAATTCTTTCTGCTCTTGATGCCTTCATAACAACTGTAATGAATCCTGCCTTCAAAATTGCTGTTTCTCTGATTTCCGGGCTGAGCAGCGAGCCTGAAAATCAAGACTCAAAATGCAATGGGAACTTTGGAATTTCCCCACTGCTGATTGGATTTTTTCCCCCTCTCCTCCAGGCTGTGAAGGTGCAAACAAATTTATTAGAATTTCTCCCATCAGGATATTTTTTCAATTAGATGTTTGCCAGTTATGCAGCAGCCAGGTAGAGCAGATAAGTAATGTTCTCTCCCTCTTCTCATTATTGTTTTGCTACAGAATGCACTTCAAAACAATCAACCCCATCATACTGGGTAGATTTATGATAGAAAGAGAAATTTTAATATTTCCCCTTGGTTATAAATACCTCCTCCCTTTTTTTCCTTCACTCCAGCTCCTGTTCAAACCTGGATAGAGGCATTCATCACCATCCTTACCCCAAAAGCCAGCCTGCACTGAATGATGTGGCAGAGATCATTTTCAAGTCCTAATTCAAAAGAAACATCCTCTTGCGCAGTTCTCTTAATCACTTTATCACTTTTGCTCTGTTGCAATTAGTTAATTTATTATTCTTTGGTTAATAGGAGCAGCCTATTAAACAAATCAGTGGCTGTGGCTGATTCTCTCCTGCACGGAATGAGCACAAAGCCAGGGAGGGAAGGGCAAAGAAAAGAGGGAAAGAAAAAGGGGGAAGTGAAAGGGAAAGGGTGAGAGAGAAGGGAAAGTGTCCCAAATGAAAGGGTGAGAGAGAAGGGAAAGTGTCCCAAATTCCACCAATTCTGGCAACAAAGTCCAATGGACACCACTGAACTGCCTTGGTGTGCAGGGCACAGAGCTCCAGGCAGGATTCCATCTGTGCCACAGGAGGAGGCTTTGCCTGGCACTGGATGGGGACAGGGATGCTGCCAACCCCATTCAGAGAGGGAATCCAAGCACATCAGGGTGATGGAGAGCAAGCCACACCTGCACCCCTCCATGGGACAACCTACCGAGCATTTTGGGTCCAAGCAAAAGAGGAAAGTGTGAGAAAACACCCTCTGAAATCCAAGTTTTCATGGAGAATTTAATTAGAAATATAATTCTTTTACTATAGCTCTTCCAGGGGCGCTGCAGCTGGCACTGCTCTATCAGCCCATACATGGAACTCAATTCAGATGTTGTTGTACAAAGCACTTTTAAATGTTTATTGCTTTTCTAGACTCACTTTGGTTTGTTATTTTTGCTCCACAGCATTATTTTCAAATCTGTAAATGTGCCCAGGGGTCACATGGGTCTCCTGTTAGCCAGATGAAAATGAAAAGGAAAAACAAATGCAGGCAGCAGGCTGGGACAGACCCCAAAGTGCAGCAGCTGGGGGATCTCCAGCTCTGTGCAAACAGGGAGAACAAATGTTTGCTCACTGGGAAGGGCCTAGTGGAAAGAAACACAACCTGCTGCCAAGATTCCAAGAAGGTGTTGCTTTTTCCTGGATGGCACTGCCAGCTTGTACAATTTTATTATGAATCTCATCACATCCTCTTTGTTTTGTGGGAGCCATGAACTGAGATGGAAACTTCAGCTTTGTGTGAGAAAGTGGAATCACAGATTGGTTTGGGTTGGAAGGGACCTTAAAGATCACCCAGTTCAACTCCACTGACATGGGCAGGGCCACCTTCCACTAGACCAGAATATGAGGGCAAAATTCATAGCAGTAACCCCTTCTGTGATACCTGCAAGAACTCAAAAGCCTTCCAAAATTTATATTTAATTTTTTTTTTTATGTCTGGTGGGTTTGGTGGTTCTTTTGGTTTGGTTTTGTTTTGAAGGGGTCCTGCCCAAATATTGGCACTCATTTTGGGCTATACTAGACCAGAGCACCTACCTGCAAGTCCCCTGAGGTTCTAGAGCTTGAAAATGTGGCCTGTTAATACAAATCCAGCAGTAATTAAGAGCCATCACCATCAAGGAGCTACTAAAAGACCAGTAAAGAACAAATTGGATGCCTCCAGTGGTTCCTACTGCTCAGGGCTATAAACATTTGCCTCTGGTTTGCTTCCCTGTGCCATGACAAAGGAGATGGGCAGGGGGTTCCCTCTCATGGCAACCTCATTTCCAAACTGGGTGCACTGGGGATGGCACATTTCACTGCAGGTTCCTGGAATGCATCTGGGTTTGTTTCCCAGCTAGCTCAGCCACCACCAGCACCAAGGCAGAGTGACCTGATGGCCAGAATGGAGACTGGACAGAGCTAAAGAATAAAGCAGGGATTTATTAAAAGGATCTCCTCCATGGATCCACCTTGGGCAGCACAAGAGCCCAGCCAGGGCTGCACCCAACATGAACCAAAATGGTCCCAAAATGCACGACCAGGCACGGGGTCTGTCACTGTGATCAGTTCTGCTCCATTTGCACCTTGCAGTTCATTGTCCCATTCCAGCTTTAGCCCAGGCAGTCCCACCCTGCTTGTTTTTCTCTCTCCAGCCCACGGTGTTTGTGCTCCTGGGCTGAGATTTGGATCATTTGTCCTTGGTGCCCAGCTGGAGCAGGAATTGTTTTGTCTCCCTGCTCTGTGCACAGAGCTCACCATCCCCTCATATGAAGTC